CTCGGTTGAAGTTAAAGGGGGGGTTATTGAAATGAAAGACAATATTCTGATGATATTGGCTGAGCAATAAGCTAAGATTGATACTAAAAAGAAGCCGTCTCAATACTAAATTGAGGCGGTTTTTTTATTTGGCCATTTCTCAATTTTAGAGCCTATTTAAGTTTTAGATCTAGATATTCCGTTAAAATTTAAACAGGCTCTTAACCGAATGGGTAAATATTTATGCCATTTTAAAAACCATAAAGATTCGAATGTTATATTTGCATTTTAAATCCAGAAAGATAAATCCCATGCAGCCATCGGTTGACCTTTTAAAAGAATTAAAATACCATTTCCCTCATTTCTCCGATGCACAATTGGATCAATGTGCCGTGCTGGAATCTTTATATGCTTTTTGGAATGCACAAATCAATGTGATATCCAGAAAAGATGTTGATAACTTTAACGAAAGGCATCTTTTTCACAGTTTAGCTATAGCTAAATTTATTGATTTTAAGGACAAAACGATGATTTTAGATGTAGGGACGGGGGGTGGATTCCCAGGCATTCCTTTGGCCATTGCCTTTCCAAATGTAAGGTTTCATTTGGTGGATTCCATTGGAAAGAAAATAAAAGTGGTGCAAGAAGTGGCTAAAGAATTGGCATTATCCAATATAGAAGCATTTCATGCCCGGGCCGAAACCATGTCTGGTCAATACGACTTTGTGGTGAGTCGGGCGGTAACCCAAATGGAGCAATTTGTGCCATGGGTCAAAGGCCAATTCAAACCCCAATCGGTGAATGCCATTTCCAATGGAATTATTTATTTAAAAGGAGGCGATTTAACCCAAGAGCTCCAATTGTATCCATCGGCCGTTGTAGAGCCGTTATCTCAATGGTATGATGCCGACTTTTTTATGACCAAAAGCATCGTCTATTTGCCCATGTTTTAATTTTACTTTTAGAGTATGACCAACGCTGTATATTCCCGATACCTTAAACGACTTTCATCCAATGCTCAACTAGAATCCAATTCGGTTCATGTATTGGATGATCAAGAGTCGAATGTCATTCGCCGTATATATAGAAAAACCATTGTTAAAGCTTCTATCATAGGCGCTCTTGGGGTTATATTGTATTTTTTACCCATTCAGTTTTTCCCAAAAATCTTTCCCTACTTTGATTTGGTTGATTTTTATGACTTTAATTTTAGGTTGGAATACGGTCAAATTCTATTTGGAATGGGGTTAATGGTTTTGGAATTGCATATTTTGGTGTTGATTAATTTACAATCGGTGCATCAATTGGCCAATGTTATGGGGTTTTATAGCAATCCAAAAACCAACAATCATCAATTTTTACTCAATTTGGGCTTGGAGGTTAAAGACCTTCGATTGGATCAATACGGCATAGATCCCTTTCAGGGAATTAATAGAAATTTACTGGTGGCGTTTAATTTGTTGTTAAAGTTAAAGGGGTTTTTGGCCAATAAATTATTGCAATATTTGGTAAAACGCCTATTGGGACGTTATGCGATACGGTATGTGGTGGATTATATAGGGATTCCAATATATATGGGACTTAATGCTTA